TAAATGCAGTGACAATTCTGAAGAACTGATTACGGCTTATTTTTATGTTGTGGGTGTGGGCGTGGGCGTGGGATGGTGTAGATGCAAATGAAAGAAACACTCACACCCACATCCACATCCAAACGCACACGCACACGCATACCCCACCCCACAGCCACCCTGAAGTGTGAGTGTGAATGAGGAAAAGGTCCATACTCATACCTTCACATAGGTTTCTAGTTGTGCGACTGTTTATTTGTAATTCAAGATCTAAAAATTGCTCACTCACTCTCTTTCTCTGTTGCACTTGATATTCTTAAGGTTTTTCTCTTTACCTTAGCTCATTCTAGCACAATCCGAATATAATTAGTATGTATGATTCAGACTCACATATCATCAACTCTTGCTAAACCCTTCTCGACAACTATAAAAGTCATTTTTTAAATGTTTCATTTATTGACTTTATCCGAAATATAAATTAGATATTAACACAAGGTTTCTAGTCTGATGAATGTAAAATAGAATCTTTTTTCATGAAATTCGTATTTTTGTAGTCAACTGCCGATTTCAAATGTAGATCCTCACGAAAACTTCGATTTCCCTTCGACAAATTGGACATGTTCGAAGTGAATCACCACATGGTACACAAGTTGCCAAATGTCCACATGGAATACACGCGAGACGTTTCTCTTCAGTCCAACAGAGTACACACATATTTGACGATGAACACTGCTTGGTAGACCTAATGATTGCTTCTTTTTCCAATCGATTTTCGACCGTTGTAGCTGTTGATTTCGATTCGATTATTTTGTTTATATTCAACTGATTTATTGGCAATAATTCGTTTGATGTTGATACGGACGATGATGAACCTATTTTTTTATGAACGAATAAAAAGACTGTCAAACAAATAAATAATACAATACTGTTTTGTTGTTTCTCGTGAACGCTTTTCATTGCAATACTCGGCACTAAGATATTATCTTTCTTCCCATTAATATGATCGATTTGCTTTTGAAGAATCATACAAGCAATCCATAGATCACATTCAGTAGCAAAGTCATTTTCTTAACAGAAAAAAAAGCAGAAGAATACAAACTTAATTTGTTTTAAGCTACGAACGTTTTAATCTTAGCTGATCTTCCCAACAACGTTTGATAATTGATAGTCTGAAATTTTGTTTGAGTAAACGTTGTGAAATAGGTAAATCGAGTCGAGCAGCAACAAATTGTGACAATGTGTCCTCATTGGCAATCACTAATGGAGACCTATTTGTTTGAACATCGTTAGAAAAATGTTCACTTATTTTTGGTCGGTTTTCTGTATTCTGTTCTAGAAGAAAGATCAGCATATTTCTTTCATAGCTTACATCATTTGTTGAGCAGAAAAAAAAACTAACCTTGAGAAGTTCGTTTTAGTTTTTGAATTTTTCGATAAAGTTCATCATCACAGAGCTGTTTCGCATAGGCGCAAAATGGAAACCAACGTAGATGTTCAATCAGTGGATTATCTTTCGGGTCCCAATTTTGAAGTGATCCATCACAATAAAAACAAGTCACAATGGTACTTGAACCAGTATAAAAAAAACCAGCGCGTACTAGATCGTCTACAGAAGGCAATGATTCTTGAGGCCATGAATGAAATGATGCTTGGCGCTTCGAAATTTCCATATAGACACTATGACATGGTGACGTTTGCATAATTTCACGGAATCGAGATAGATCCGCTGTTGCTGCTGAATTATTCGTATTTTCGTTGAGAGTCGAAGTCGATAATCTTGCACGAGTTTTTAAAATGAATAAAACATATGGACATTGAGGTGAGAGAGTTTCATGTACTTCCTGTGGATCATCAGTATCTGATGTCCATTGTTGACAAATTAAATTGCAATATAAACAAATGACACGATCACGAACATTGCAAGAGAAGAATCCGGCCAATATCATTTGTGTTCGAGATGGTGCTATATTTTGTGGCCAATGTGAAAATGTTCGATAACGGACTTTTTTCAAAGTCTCGACTTCTGATAATAAACTGATCATTTGACTATCAATCTTTTGACGTTTTGCTGGATTTTCGTCGCAATGTGACAAATTATAGTTTCGTTCATTAGTTGGTAAATTATTTGAAGAAGATAATTTTATTCGATTCTTTGATAGAACTGATTCAACGAATGAACAGTTACGACTCCGTTGAATATGAATAGTAAATGGATCCATGTCAGTTGTCCATTCAGAGACTTCCAATCCACATGAATGACAACAAGCAGTATCACCAACACCGGTATATGTCAAACCAGCTGCATTGAGAGAAATGGATGAATGAATACCTCGCTTCTTCAACTTATTAAGAACGTTAGCTACACGACGACTGACATCATTTTTCAAAGCAATATTTTCTTCTTCCGTATCAAAACATTTTGATAAATGAACATATTGTCTCTTTGCTATCATTGATATCACTATAGAGATATTTCTTTGTATTGAGTTGATGACGCAATTGTGCAATCAAACACTTAATAGACTTATTTTTGTAAGAAAAGATGTTCACAATAAAACTGACTCTATTTATATATACTTTAATTCGGACTTACATACAGATTGTGAAATTTTTCAATGATTCATCGGAACCGGGAAAATTTGTCTTTGAATAATCAAAATTTTCCCTATTATTGTTGTTTACAACAACACTAATGAACATATGTTCGAATTTTTGGCACATCGCTTCTTTGTCCCATTAGAATGATATAAGAATACTAGCTGTCAGATCAACTTATTGGAATAATTTGTTATCGACTATTGGTGACCTCTAGCAATTTCATAGTGTCATCTGTAGATTATGCAAGAAAACAATAGATTGTTGAAATTGTCAGAAACTAAATCTTTCTACTCGATGAAAAGCTACATGTGTTTAAAACTACTTCTGAAAGTAAGTGACAAATGCCTACAAATTAAAGAAAAAACTTGAAGAAAATTCAAACTGTATCATCCGGTCACGTTTATTCTTTTTTGGTTACCTTACTATATCCAGTGAAATCGATAGTAAATATTGTTGTGGATGTTCTTGGAGAAGAGCTTCTTCATGCACACAGAAAAACTAGATCTAGACCCACAACAACATCGACATCATCACCTATCAGTCGAGTCATTAAACGTAACTAATGAACAATTGTGAAATCGTTTCAAGATCCTATAAACAGATGAAAGTTCTGTGTAAAAATAATGAGAACTTCGTTGTCATCTAATCATTTGAAAATAAAAATAACTCATGAATGATAGAAGCACACGAAATAACACTCAATGAAGAAGTCTATCATTCATAACTATAAAATAGTAGTAACTTTCAAATTGTTACAATAATTTATTTTCGTTCTTCTCTTTTTGCTATATTTATTCAATGACTGAGAAATCTGTAACAGAAAAAAAAAACATTAATCTGCTGTAGATGTTAATGCCATTCCAACAATGATACCATCCTCTGATCGTTCACTTATCTTTTTTGCCCATTACATAATCCTCATTTATGTTGAACGAAATCGTGACAAATCTACCATCGGGTAAAGTAACCTATAATAATCAACATAATATAAAAATTTTCGATTCAACCTAGAATTGTTATTTGAACTTTGAAATCTTAGAACATGTCACAACCATATGTACGACAAACAGGCACTAGTTTCAGCTTAAAAATCGGCTGAAACTGATGGAAACGTCTTTCGTAATTTACTGTCAATATTCTGCTTGAACTAAAAAAAATAGACTGACAACTCGAATAACATAGAAAGCTACATATTATTTGCCAAATCGAACATTTCTAGATCGTCGACAGTCAACGGTGAAAAGCGAGACACTGTTTGAATATAACGCTCTTCTGTTTCTTTCATTTTGATCACGAATATGAATGAATAAAACTTACTATATATATAGTTTGAATCAATTTTGTTCTTTCATTCACCTATTGCCCCTCTTTACCGTGGTCTTCAAAATATGCAAGAAACAATTTTTTGATGAATAAGATGCTTGAATAACAAAACAACAAGTGTTGTAGACATGCAGGAATGATTGACTGACTTCGTTTTGTCGTCGTCTATTAAAATAATTCTGTATTTTTCACCTAGATCTATTGATGGATCCGAGAAACCAGCAGTGCTCAGACTTTCGAAAGTGGAAATTTCGGAAGTTTCGGAGATTTCAAGCATTTGTGTTCGGAATTGTACGTTACTTCCTAAAATAATGTAATTTCCGAAATTTCTGAAATTTTCGCAATGACGTACTTACAGAAATTTCGAAATTTACAGAAATTTCTAAAATTGCTGAAATTTCCAATATGTCTAAAAACTTTTGATTTGCACTGCTATATAGTAATCGAGCTGATGGAAATTTCAGAAATATGGGTAATTTTCTTTTTTGGAAATCTGAACATACCTAGAACCTTTGGCTTGAGTTTCCTACAGGGAGAGAACACGATCCGATAAGAAGATCAGTTAGGAAAATTCATTTGATAGTTGATTAACCTCACAAATCAAATGAACAACAGTTAGCAGTTGTAGCTAAAATCATTTCTCATTATGGTCAATGCTGCTCAAAAATACTTCGATGACCGAAGATCATGTCTCATATAGGAACCTAGTGATTTCGACTTTTGTATAAACTTACATAGAAAAATCATTCGCTTTCATCATCATTGATAGGCTGTAGAAAGACCTTGTATAATCATTAGACTTCTCGACTCTCAAACACTTATCAAATAGCGTATGTATAGATATGTGAGAATATAAGTGTGGAGTGATTAGACGTCGGATGTCGATATGAGTAGATGTAGATAGGTATGAACTGTGGATCGTCTTTTTAATTGCTCATGCTCATGCTCACATGCACACCCACACCTTTAGGTTATTTGTAGCATCAAAAAAGGTAATTCTAGTGCGCATGTAGTTTTATAATACGATAGTTAATATAGCGTGTCTTGTTCTTTGCATAATGCATGGACAAAAAAAACTTAGCGTTTTCAATCTGAAAGTGCTAGATTTTGAGAAACTTTTGAACGCGAACATTTCCTGTATCACCAATGTACATATTCATTGATGAATCAAATGCTATGCTTCTTGGGGCATTTAGTTCAGTTGTACTATTACCAGCTACTCCAGTCCCAACTATTGTAATACCAAGTGAACTGTTTTGACAAAACATTTGTACTCTATGATTTCTTTTGTCAACAACATATATATTCAAATATGCATCAATTTTGAGGCCCATTGGACTATTTAGAAGTGTGGCATTAGAACCTGATACGCCAGCTGTACCAGCGACGAAAATGCCTGATGAAGCACCTGGTATCCATCGCATCACCGAATGTCCAGCATTGTTTGCTATATACATATCAGTGCTTATAGATGGAAGATAATGAATTCCCCATGGATAGTGTAATTGTATATTAGAATTACCGTTACTATTGCCACCAGCAACAATAGTACCATTAGTACCTGTTGTTGAATTAGATCGATAGAGCATAGTACGTTGATTACTATTATCATTAATATACAAGTATGTTTCAGTTGGATCGAGACAAAAATATCGCGGACAATTAAACTGATTCAGCGCCGTACCATTTGATCCAGTTATACCAGCTATTGTCACACCAGCTGTTGAGCCATTTATAAATTTTTGAAGACGATGACCATAACAATCAGTCACATACATATTTTTATTTGAGTCAACATAAACGTCTTGAGGACGGTTCAGTTGACTGGCACCAGTGCCACGTGACTGTACTATACCAGCCACTAAAATGGGTGTCAAAGTATTTTTTGGCAATTTCCATACAACAGAATTTGGATATTCATCGACAATATAAAGTGTATCGTTTGAATCAAAAAATAGACCAGAGACACTTGAAATTTGTGACGAATTCAATATAGTTATACCAGTCGTATTCCACCGATAAGGAATTACACCACCTAGGAATGAAATGCGAACATCATAAAAACTGGAATATTTTCTTCAGATAACATAAATTTTATTTCATAGCTGCCCATCGCAGTATACTCATTGCTATTTATATTTGAGTTGTTTGTCATTGACTTACCGCATATGATTTATTAGGACATAAATTCATCAATGAAGATGTTGAAGAATTAGAAATAGGAAAACAACCTTGTATCTGATATTGTTTCATTTACATTTTGAGTCTCTTATATACTAGGATCGAAAGTTGTTGATTGATTGGTTATTTTCTTAGCTTATATTATTCAAAGTTCTATATACTGGTTGATAAAAACCGTTAGTTCTAGCTATTTTCTGTCTAGAGTCATCAAGAACGCTTAGCTTTTGGTCTGACTTCATGAACATTCACAAATACTCAAATTATTTTCAGATGAAGACAGCTGACTCATAGTATCTTAATTAATAATAGGAAGATCTATGTATGACTGAAATACTATACATGGATGTGTCAATAGTAAGCTTGAAACCAAACCGACCGGTTTCACTTATGTTTTTTATCGTTTGTCTCGAATTTAATTTAATCTAATTTTTCCTTTTTTTATCGTCTTGTGTACATTTAAATCGATTATCATAAACTTTGAATGATTGATATTTTCTCATTTCATGTTCTACTGATATTTGTAATAACTTTTAAGACTTTCATCGAGATTAAAAGAGTCTAAGCCATCGGTTCCTATCTGCTACAGTTTGAAAACGCAAAAAAGAATACTCACCAAATTGTCAGCATTATATTAGAACCAAAGAAAATTTCTTACTTACATGGATTCGTCGTCGTTGTCGTTGGTATTGTTCTTTAGAAATTAAACAAAAACATAATGTACGGATTTGATCAAAGACTCGCAAGTATTCAAAGAACTAGGATTAGTAAAGGAATGCTGAGTCTAACTGATATTCTTGAATAAAGTAAAGTTGACACAATTTTTTCCTTTTTGTTTTCTTCTTGCATGCGCAAATATTTAACTTAGGATTTCTATGAAAAACACTTTCACATACTGTTTTGTTTTCTGAAGAGAAAGACTCTACAAAATTTTTCGAGTTGCTCTTTATAAGCAGTGTCATAAGGCTTTTTTTAAACTTGTAACTAAAAATCACAATTTAACACGGAAGAGATAACTTACTTAGATGAATATTAACGCATAAGAAAATTCACGGAGACAAATGCTTACTGCTAGCTAACATCCAATCGTCGATTTGAAATTAATCATTTAACAAAATTCTGAATTCAATTTAAGATATAAAAATGATTTCTGAATAGAGAAATGTAAAATCTTTCATCTACATTGTTTCGACATAATTTGTCTATTCTGTTTGATGGTTTGTTCTGTCATGATAAGTCTTTTTTGTCGAATGCGATAGAACTATCTTTTTTTTTAAGTCGAACACTTTCTGATTGTGAGCAAAACATGTTTTCAACTGTGCTAATTTAATAACGATAATAGTCTTCATATTCATATTTATTCCATACGGTTAACATCTCACGCAATATTCTTTGATCTTTTATTAGATCAACTATTCTTAGGAAAATTTCATGAATACCTGTGTATGGTCAATTGTTCAATTGGTTTCTTTACGTTGTACTTAAGTCAACTTAATGTAAGAAAATGATAACGAGCAAGCCTATGTATATGAGATAGATTTATCAAGGTTAGAGTTATTTCTATTTGCATTTATTGTGAGATTACTATGACGCCTAAACGCGTTCATTTATTTCTCATAATGGCACGATGATTGCCATTGTATGGTATCTTTAAGCGATCTATGATCTGTGTGTAGAAAAAATTAATTATTTCTTGTCAGTTAAACAAAAAAAGATATGAAGACGATCATCATTTGTCAACAGTTGATGCAATAGAAACACTCAATGTCAAATAGGCAATGGCCAGGCAGTACGAGCACCATACGGCACGAATAGATAACTGAAAGTATTGTCACTTATCTTCCTAATAATCACTTTAGCATGTTAAATGGAACTCGAAATCTTTTCACAACATCAATTTGAAATCTTTCATTGAGCACGGACTAAACCTATGCATTTTTGTGTCCATGAGTTTTCGCACATACTAATATCCCGTTCGATCCGTAATCTATCGATAAAATAAATCAATCATATATTTTTTTTAGTATTTAGCAAGTCTTGGCAACTATATAAAGTAAACTATACAATGAAAATGTTTTGAAAATGAGTATATTAGAATATAACAAGTTGGATCTTGCATCTAAATATATACAAGACGGGTAAAATTGTATGCCAATTATTTGGAAAGAGTTATCTACAAACTTCATTTCTTTTTAATTCAATTTTTTTGGTTTAACTCTTTTCTTCTTATTTTCTAGCACATAGTCATGTCTAATCCCCATACCCCATGAACTGGCTGTCACATATTAATTTTTTTCTAATCCTTGAACGCGACAATGAACTTAACACTGGGCCAAAACTGAATCAGGAAGTAAACATACGTTGATAATTTTGTATTCATCGTAGTGTCGAAAAGAAGAATGTCAAACATGCTTTTTATTTAGATAAATATCTAATAATCAATATTAATCACTTGCAGTAATTGACGTTGTACTTATTTGTGTTGTAACTAAATATGCGAAGTCATCATAAACAGTATTACATTTTAGAATAAGTACTAATATCACTTTGAATATAACTGAGAATCATATGAAAAAATGAATGATAGACAGTGAAAAATTTTTCAACAAATTACACAAAACATATTTTATTTTCAGCCTAAGCTCATTTGAAGAGATGCATCATATATCAATTCATCTCTGTGTAGGATGAGGTCATATTCCTCTCCCATACTTTCATTTTCAGCATCTGAAATTGCTTGGCATATCTGTGCATCTTTAGTTCTTTAGATATGTGGCACAACTCTCTTCAATTATTATTACACTTTTGTTACTCATTTACTTTACATCTCATTAGTTGTTTTTAATCATCGCTTGCTTTGATTTAATGCTCACATTCATTTTGTAACCATAGAGTATTGAAATAGGCGACCGTAGATCCAACATTAGCCTCTCACTGCTCGGTTCATGAGACGCCCCACTAGTAACATTTGCTTCTCTTGTATAGGGCGTTCAGCGATACCCATTACATTGAAGAGTAGAACGAGCCATCATGTATGACATCAACAGAACATATTAATGTAGTTGTTACCAGTGTGACAGACTGATATGGCATGTTGTTCCTCTTTCTGTTTGTAGCATCAGTAAATATTGCTACACTTCTCTGTTCAATCTTTTCGTTTCGTATTATTTTTCATTGTAATGTTTTTTTTAATTATGGCAAACATAAGCTACGCATATGTTGCCGATGGTTTTGTCGTGTACTATAGCATCGGTTGATCAAAATAATAAAGTATACTTCTGATAAAAATTAACCTTTGATTTTTTTTTCTTCTTTTCATTTACTTTTTAAGTGGTGAATGACTTTAGAGAGATACTCAGAAGAGAAGAGATAGTCCAACTTTGTTGGTACATACTTCAACACTTATTTCAAACAAGTGGGCATGATAAATTTCTATTCTAGAAAATTCAAATGATTCAACTTTGAAAAATAAATGTAGACAATTAATTTTAATGTAGAGAGAATATAGAAATGATATCTATAAGTTTGCGATTGGGTCAGAAAGTTTACCAATATTAGAAAAATGTACTAGATATAAATCGATTTTCTTACCAAACGAATTTCTTTATTCCATTCGTGCAGACTATTGCAAAACGTTTTTAGTATTGTCTTACCTTTTTTTTTAAACAGTTGGGTTGAATTTCCTGAACTAAAGAACTTCTCATCACATTAAAAACAAACTTTTACTGAATATAGACGAAATTTCATCGATGATACATGTTACTAACTTGTGGTTGAAGTTGCATTTGAAAATAACGTTGATGTATCTGTTGTTGTTGTTGCTTAAGAGAAAATACAATGTTTGTTAAAAATCAAAAGAAATAAATAACATACAAACTTCATCATTTCTTCTTGTTAATGAATAAACTAATGGTGATACCGCAGCAGCTATTGATAGGATACTGACACAGAAAATAGCAATTGCCAATTTGTTGCCATTTATGAAACATTCTCCTGTCCTAGTATTGGATACCATGTTGGTTTGTATTTGTCGAAGATCATTGACGTTTACTTGTATTTCTTTGGGTGATATTTTGGAAGGTGATGTTACCCATTTATTGGGCTTGTGGCTATTCTTGGATGCATCTAACATTTGGCTTCTCTATGAGATGACAATGGCTATTGAAATTGTTTTTTTTTTAGAGGATTGTCTTTGAAATGCCTTATAGAGATAGATAGTGATAAGCTGATCTCTCAATTAATAAACATAATTTTTAGTAAGAAGGCAATTCATAAATCTAACTGTTTTAGAAAAACTTCTGATTTTTCATCTAATGACGGCTACGATATGACACAAAGCAGGGATTTCAACAACATGGTTTTATTGCACTTCGATGCACCGAGTAGCACCATGTGAAAATTCTAAGTGTTTTGTTGTCTGCGTGGCACATGACCCCACATCTATTCTTTGTTAGTCAGACTCTTTATTAACCAACCAATAACATTTAACATATAGAAAGAACGATGCTATGCAACTACGTTTTAATATGCACTGATAATTAAATCTTGAAGGTTTCTGATCTATCAAAGCGTTCAGAATTTCTAGAGAAGGCGCTTTATCATAGAAATGCTGCTAATAAGATTAGTGTGAAAAAATTTTAGACAATCAGAAAAGCCTGAGTACTAATAATATTCCTTGTCTAATACAGCAAGTTCAAATAAGTTACAACTCTTCTTTGACATTGATTTGTAAATTGAACTCATATACTTGATTGTTATCCAATACGATGCAAAATTAAATATTGAAAACCAGACATGTTTATATTCAAACACACGACTACTTCTTTCGAGTGTTCGAGCTTTCTCCGTTCGACATTCTTTTTGCAAAATAATCTCTTATGTTTCTCGTCTTCAACCAATTGTGTGATTAATAAGTTTATGTCAGAGGTACCGCAGATCGAGTACAAATATGTTGTTTCCGAAACCGAGCAATCTATTGCTGACAATACTCAGGCAGATAAACAAAAGACCAAACGCTGTTTGAACACCATAAGTTTCAATTGTTTAACCAATGTGGCATATCTATCCCACACTCATAATAAAAGTTACAACTCAAAAAGAAGTTGGTGATCAAAAGTTTTTTTTTCTCACTGAATATACTCATTAAATAAAATATAAGACAAAGAAGACATAAAAAAGTGAATAACCGAGTATATGAAAAAAAATAATAATTTTCTTTTTCTTTCTGTTTGATTACTTTAGAATACATGAAGAAAAATGGCAGAGACAGTCAAGACGTACTATTATATGCGACGAAATATGTATGTACATGAATTATGAAAAAAAAGGGAAAAGGAAAGAAATAGAGAAAACTATATGTAAAAATAAATGAAATAGTAAAATTTTTCACTTACTTTTTTTGTTCATAAGCTATAATAATTCAAGAACAGAATCATTCTACTATCGATAATTTATTATGAAAATATGATATTCTCATTTCTACGAAAGAAAAAACTACCATAAATATCAGACGAGTCCGAGGAGAACAGAAAGATTTAAACATTTAGTGGTGCATGCTATACAAAATTGAGCAACTGAAGATATCGTCAATTACTGGTACTTTAACCTTCCATGATCTTCTATACAAGTGTAACAATGTGATACGTGATAGTTTGAATGTGTCACAGTATTTTATCATTTTTTCATGTCAAAAATTTATAAAGAAGCTCGTATTGTACCATCAATAGCTTATCACGATTTTATGTGTATAAGTTTGTAAGTTTTTTAGAATGTAGATAAGGCATATATAGCATATCTTTTAACAACATATTCATTCTCATATATACTATATACCTATATCATTCTCGAGCCAAAAGCATTAAGCAAAGAAGATTCAATACAAACTCCTACCTACCCAATTACAAAAAACATGTTTTCATTGTCAAGTAATTTGTTTACTTTCATATTTTAATCCAGTAGGGATTGCGCTAAAAGCTTCCTATAGACTGCGTTTCGTTCTCATAACATACGATGAGACAAAACTTGTAAAACACTACTAGACAATAAGACTTCCGCACTTATTAATTTTATTAAATAGGCCAAAATTTTTTATCATTCTATTGCTCCTGACGTACACAGATTACTTGCCTGATTGATATATTGAGGTGTATATTTGCTGCGGAATTGACCGGCATTCGGCATTTTTAGCAAATTCTTTCTAAAAAAAAGAAATAACTATGATCAAAACACAATATATGCTTTCTATGGTGAGTATTGTATGCTCATCACTCATATAGTGTATTGTTATGCTTCTTTTATTTGTTTTCACTAATGGTTAACGAAGCACTTTAATTGAGACATTTATTGCATTCATGTATTTTTCAGTTTGAATAAAGCAACTCTCTCGCACAAAAAAATAACGTTGTTCTGTCGAATATTTTTAGTCGATTGAAAGTGAAAAGTGACAACATAAGTGCTACAGACAAAGCTAATTATGAAATAAAACAGCAAACAAAATTTGAGGAATTAACAATGGCTTCATTTTTGAAAGTATTTTTATTTTTTACTTGAAATATCGATATTTCGCTTCTCCTTCCGAATCAATAGTTGCCACTCGTTTGTTTCTTTTATGTTGCAAGCGATGTCAAGCTACATTGAATCTATTTAATCAAATTCAGAAATGTTTCATAAGGTTGACATCAACAATTAGATCATTTGCAGAATTATATTCCGAAAAAAATTATGCGTCCCATGGCTTAATGCACCATATATGGGGGTTGTCACCGTCCATCGCTTAACTCTTAAGGAATTGAAAAATACCTTTGAGTACACATCAGAGCGCAGGTCGACAACCAAAACTGAGAAAACATAGTTAATGTCCTTTTCATCAAACATAAAAACAAAGAAATCAAATTCTGGTGCAATCGAGTCTTGGTTAAACAAAGATCATACTCTATTTAAATTTGATGTAAACTATATGATAAACACAATGAGGACGTTAGATCGGTTCGTTCGACTGCAATTCTAAGAAAAAATCTCATGACAAGGAAAAAGATAATGCATTACTGAATCAGTATCGAAAAACAAAGCCTGTTAAACATAGAATAGTTTCATTTTTATGCGAATCGCATAAACTTATTACTGCTTAAAATACATTCTATAAATAATCAGCAACCAAGATCAAAAAATGACAGCATAAAAAAATATTTCTCATCTCTTAAATAAATAGTTGGTGCTGTGTATTTTTCATTTGCTTCTCCGACATTTCTCAATTATAATTCGGTTGAAACAGCGGCATGTATTTACTAAAAAAAGTAAGAATAGTCAAAGGAAAACGTTGGAAAATCAAGTATTTATTTGTTTTGTTTTGTAGAGTATTATATAGAAAATGAAGACGTTTCAATTTTGGGAATACAAATATGATGAATTCTAAAAACCTTCAGATTAATGATTACGCCTAAAAAATTTTGGTATACGAGTAATCAACTGGCAATAGTTTGATATTTAAAGGAGCAGCTCTCCTGTGACAGCCATTCTATCGAGACATATCAACGGTAGAACGAACAAACATGCAACATGGGAAAGAGTAATAGGAACTATCACATGATAATAAAGAGAATTTTATTAGATACGTTCAATAGATTGTTCATCAATATTATTTTCAGCATCGTAAATCAATGATGATGTAGATAATAATTTTGATAGAAACTATGGTAAATATTTTGATTGTTGTTCCATAGAATCAAAAAAAAAGAAGAGACTCTAGGATTATAAGTAGTTCTTTATATAAGGGCACTTCCATGGGAAGTATACCATAAAAACACAAAGATCTCAGAAAATGTTTTGAGATATCAGAGCTTGTAGAGCTTTTTGTGCTGATCATTTTAAAAAAAAATAATTTTTCTTTTCATCAAAAAATAACGGCGCTAGGGTGAAAATACTGAAAGATGAAAAAGTCGTATCGGTTACTTGTTTTTTGCAGTATTTTGACTCTACCAGCGTTATTTGTCAATGAAATAGGGCAAAATTTTATGTCAAAATGATCAGAAAAGAAAGCTCTACAAGCCCTGATGCCTCAAAACATTTTCTGAAATCTTTGGGTTTATATGTCTGGCTATCTATGACTATCCATGTTCAAAAAGTTGATCACCATATAACTCAAAATGGCTACATTCCTGCAAAATGGGACTTTGTGGATTTTGTAGCGCGGAGTCTGCTCTACAAAATCCTATACACGGCAATTGAAACACGCCGACAAAATAGTGCGTAAAATTCGACAAAACACTAAGAACTATGATTATTCCGGAAAAAGAAGATCATTTATGCATATTGCTTTGAAATTCCATTTGTTTGAGCTGAAAACTATAGTATGGTGACATCTGAGAAGTCGAAAGATGAAGTCGAAGAAGATTTCTAAGTCTATTTTGCCGCAATTGAGAGTATCTGAACAGTGATTTCGATGAAAGATTTTGCTAGCTGAATGAATCTACGTAGTTAATACCACTAGTCATGCGTCCTATACGCCATATCATACAAGCGTGTCATAACCATAAGAGTAAGATGAATCATATTTCCATATAATGTCACTGTTTAACGGATCAGAGTTAGAGTCGGCTCTCTACTGTAAAATTCTTTTATATAAATTCAAATCACACATCGTTCACTCAACAAAATAACATGTTAGAAAACGTTTTCATCGAAATCACTGTTCAAATACTCTCAATTGCGGCAAAATAGACTTAGAAATCTTCTTCGACTTCATCTTTCGACTTCTCAGATGTCACCATACTATAGTTTTCAGCTCAAACAAATGGAATTTCAAAGCAATATGCATAAATGATCTTCTTTTTCCGGAATAATCATAGTTCTTAGTGTTTTGTCGAATTTTACGCACTATTTTGTCGGCGTGTTTCAATTGCCGTGTATAGGATTTTGTAGAGCAGACTCCGCGCTACAAAATCCACAAAGTCCCATTTTGCAGGAATGTAGCCATTTTGAGTTATATGGTGATCAACTTTTTGAACATGGATAGTCATAGATAGCCAGACATATAAACCCAAAGATTTCAGAAAATGTTTTGAGGCATCAGGGCTTGTAGAGCTTTCTTTTCTGATCATTTTGACATAAAATTTTGCCCTATTTCATTGACAAATA